TATGGCATGGGAATGAAGGAAGAAAGGAAAAGGGGAGAAAGTGGCTCATGTTAGCTACTAAGAAGAAAACAGATGAGAAAAAGAAGTGAAAGCACAGGCCAAGGTGGTACTACAGGAGAAAGCACTCGAGTTTATGAATTCCTCAGAGAGAGACTGTAATAATGGAGAACCCCCTAGGAAGATAATACCAGAGAATTCACTTACACAAAACATCTAGGTGATGCTGGGCATAGTGGTTCACACCTATAATCCTAACACTCTGGGAGGCTGACACAGGAGGATCATTTGAGCTCAGGAGTTCCAGATCACCCTGAGCAAGTGTGAAACCCCATCTCTACTAAAAATTGAAATACTTCCTGGGCATTGTGTTTGTGGTCCCAGCTACTTGGGAGGCTGTGACAGGAGGATTGCACAAGCCCAGGAATTTGAGGTTGCTACCTAAAGGCTGTTATTGATATCTTAAAAATATATTTTTGCTCACTGCTAGGCCCCACCCTCCACAGTGCTCCAAAATGATTTCTCAAATATGTGTCATTCAGCATTGAGATCCAAGCTCTGGAGATTAAGTAGTGCCATCTGTTTTTTTGCTCAAACTAGATTACCGTTGGCTTGTGTCTGTCTATTGTGGTGGTCACTCTCTAGGAGCTTGCCCTCTTGATCTTAGGAAACAGCGATGAATAGCAGAGGTCAATAGAATTGGATCACAGGGCAGCTGTCCAGGACTGCCCTGAACTTGATTATCCCACTGCTGCTTTTTTTAAAGACTTACAGCAGCTGTGCCAGACTCTGCTTAAACCAAGAAACAGTATGTCTAGCAAGCACTGCTATGAAGACTGAAAATTATGTGGCCAAAACAAAACTTGCCAATGGCACTTCCAGTATGATTTTACCGAATGGAAACTGTCTGCAAGCTATGAGAAGGAAAAGGAACTGTGTGTCAAATATTTTGAGCAGTAGTCAGAGTCTGATCAAGTGGAATTTGTGGAACATCTTATATCCCAAATGTGTCCTTACCAACATGGGCAAATAAACTCCTATGTTGCAGGGGGATTTCATAACTGCTCTGTCAGCATGGGGTTTGGATCATATTGCTGAGAACATTTTGTCATATCTGGATGCCAAATCACTATGTGCTGCTGAACTAATGTGCAAGGAATGGTACCAACTGACATCTGATGGCATGATATGGAAGGAGCTCATTGAGAGAATGATCAGGGCAGATTCTTTGTGGAGAGGCCTGGCAGAATGGAGAGGGTGGGGACAGTATTTACTCAAAAATAAGCCTCCTGATGGGAATGCTTCTCCCAACTTTATATGCTTTATATGCTTTTTTATAGAGTACTTTATCCTAAAATTATACAAGACATTGAGACAATAGAATCTAATTGAAGATGTGGAAGACATAGTTTACAAAGAATCCACTGCCGAAGTGAAACAAGCAAAGGAGTTTACTGTTTACAGTATGATCAGAAAATAGTAAGCAGCCTTCAAGACAATACAATCAAGATACGGGATAAAAGCACATTGGAATGCAAGCAAATTCTCACAGAACACATGGGTTCTGTCCTATGTCTCCAATATGACGAAAGGGTGATCATAACTGGATCATTGGATTCCACAGAGTGTGGGATATAAATACAGGTGAAATGCTAAATACATTGATTCACCACTGTGAAGCAGTTCTGCACTTGCATTTCAATAATGGTATGATGGTGACCTGCTCCAAAGATCGTTTCATTGCTGTGTGGGATATGGCCTCCCCAACAGACATTACTCTCTGGAGGTTACTGGTTGGACACTGAGCTGCTATCAAAGTTGTAGACTTTGAAGACAAGTACATCGTTTCTGCTTCTGGGGATAGAACTATAAAGGTATGGAACACAAGTACTTGTGAATTTGTAAGGACCTTAAATGGACACAAACGAGGCATTGCCTGTTTGCGGTACAGAGACAGGCTTGTAGTGAGTGGCTCTTCTGACAACACTATCAGATGATGGGACATAGAATGTGGTGCATGTAAAAAAAAAAAACAAACAAACAAAAAAAAAGAATGTGGTGCATGTTTGCAAGTGTTAGACCATGAGGAATTGGTTCGTTGTACTCGATTTGATAACAAGAGGATAGTGGGGCCTCTGATGGGAAAATTAAAGAATGGGATCTTATGGCTGCTTTGGACCCTCCTCCTGCAGGGACATTCTGTCTACAGACCCTTGTGGAGCACTCCAGAAGAGTTTTCCAACTCCAGTTTGATGAATTCCAGATTGTCAGTAGTTCACATGATGACACAATTCTCACATGGGACTTCCTAAATGATCCAGCTGCAAAAGCAGAACCTCCCTGCTCCCCTTTCCGAACATATACCTATATGTCCAGATAAATAACCATACACTGACCTAATACTTGCCCAGGACTCAGTGAAGTTGTGGAATCTGTCAACACCAGGACAAACAACAACAGTAACAACCAAACAGCTACCCAGTTTCCCTGAACTATCCTAGGAGCAGGGCTTTGAGTCTCCTGTTAGGACACAGTTGGTCTGAAGACATAATTTGCATACACAATTGCTGGTCCACTAGGATGGAAGGAGAGGTGTATATAAAAGACTCCCAGGTTTTCAGTGCATGCAACCGCGTGGAAGTGTCATGACTCACACAGAGAAACCTAACTAAGGAATTTTCAAAGTGCGACATGAAGAAGGGAGATAATAATTGAATTTAGTGCATACTATACCTGAGAGTTCGGCGATAATATTCAAGTAAAAAATGTCAAGATAGGCTGTAGTTATGTGACTATGTAGCTCAGGAGATAAGACTGGGCTAGAAAATAAAAATGTGGGTGGGGAATTATCTACAAAACGATGATACAGAATGGTATAGACATGGAGATGCAAGTGTTCTTTAGGTGGATGACTTTAAATTAAAAAACAGGAAAGAATCTAAAGCCAAATCCTAAAGAATGTCAGCACTTAGAGGCCAGAGGGAGCAAGGGAGTAAACATTTTGTTTTTACTATTCTCTAAAAGGCTACTCTTGAAATTATTGCATACTTTTTTTTTTTAGCTACAGTTTCATTCTTTTACCCTGGGTGGAGTGCCATGGTGTCACAGCTCACAGCAACCTCAAACTCTTGGGCTCAAGCAATCCTCCTGCCTCATCTACCCCAGTCAGTTTTTCTATTTTTAGTAGAGTCAGGGTCTTGCTTTTGCTCAGGATGCTACTGCATACATCTTTAACTTATTACAGGAAATTGCCAATTACTGCTTTTCCCAAATTGCCAAAAAATGGTAGAACTTTAGCAGTAAAATGACTGACAGCAAGGACTGTTATGTTTTCTTGGAGAACTGACCTCTTTATCCTTATGTAACTCTTATCCCTGATCTTTTTCTTTCTTTGATTTTTTTTTTTTTTTGCTTTTTTAGTTGCAATAGACATTTCAAACTAATCCAAGTCCATTTTCAAATACACACACCACTTCATGGGTAGTGTATATAGCTTATAATAATAAAATAATCCTAATTCCTCCCTCCTACTCCTATCATTGCCATCATTTATCTTTTACCAAAAAAAAAAAAAAAAAACCTAAGTACTTCACCAAAATATCTTTGACTTTATAAAGTTTCAGAATACAAAATTAACACCAAAAAACCCAGTAGCATTTCTACATACTGATAGCAATCAAGCTGAAAGCCAAATCAAGAAATTATCCCATTTATAATAGGTACAAAAAAAAATAATAAAATACTTAGGAATGCATTTAACCAAGGATGTGAAAAAACTCTACAAGGAAAACTATAAAATACTCACGAAAGAAATTATAAATGAGAGAAAACCAAATAAAAAATCCCATTCTTACCAATTGAAGAATCAATATTGTTAAACTGACCTTAGTGCCCAAAGCAATCAATAGATTCAAGGCAATTTCTATAAAAAGGCAGACATCCTGTTTTCACACAACTAGAAAATAATCCTAAAATTCATATGGAAATGAACAAAACGAAACCCCAAATTTGCCCACCATTTTCTGTTCATGGGATGTATGAACTAGCATGATTCCTCACTGCCCTTGCGTGCCCTGTACTCCACCTCAAACATACAAAAGGGTACACTCCCTCTATGCATTATTCATTTTCACCTTCATAAAAACCCTTGGCTCATGCCTGTAATCCCAGCACTCTGGTATTGCCTGAGCTCTGGAGTTCCAGACCAGCCTGAGCCACGCTGTGGCTACCGCCTGTAGTCCCAGCTACTCCGTAGGCTGAGGCAAGAGGATCGCTTGAGCCCAGGAGTATGAGATTGCTGTGAGCTATGACACCACAGCACTCTACAGACCGCGACAAAGTGAAGACTATCTTAAAAAAGAAAAAAAATTCTGAACCCGGCTAATTTGGGAGGTAGATTTGAGGTTGCCTGTGTCTTCCCCTCCCAGTTGACAGGTCCTCTGAAATAAATCCCTTCTTCCTGACAGTTCTGATTGTTCCAGAATTGGCTTCCTGGACAGCCAGCAGCAGTTAACCTCCTTGTGGGTTGGTGAACACTGGGAAGAGCGCAGGGTGATTCCAGTGCGGGGGCAGATGCTAAGACGGCCTCTCCAGAAACCCACCATTCTGGCTGTAACTGAGATCCCAGAGGCCCCCGTTCCCCTCCGGGGACCTGACCTCACCGCCAGGCCAGAAGGCTGCGGATCACCGCCCGGGAAAGCCGCATTCCAACCTTCTTAACTCCACGCCTCGTTCCCGGCTCCTTCCCGCCTGTAGGGGAGGGCCAAGAGAAAATGTTCACCAATCAGAACACAGAGGTGGAGGACGTTGACCCTCAGGACCAATAAGAGCGTGGGTCCTGGGGCCGGTGATAAGGGCGCCGGTTGGCTGGGTGGGGTTTAAACCTCAGTGGCCAACGGTTAACGGCTAGCTCAGTTCGCTGGCGGCTGTGCGCCTGCGCGAGCTGGGAGGCCTAGTCTAACTGAACCGAAGGCTGCGGGTTTGGCTAGCATTGCGGCGGGGGTCGGCGGGCGGGCGGACCTTGAGCTGCAGGTGAGCTGGACGGGCCGGGGCGGCAGGGCGCTGACCCTGCGGGTGCTCACCCGCTGCTGCGGGAGCCCCTGCTCCTTTTCCGCCTCAGGAGCAGCACGGAGTGGCAGTGTACCTCCCTGGCTGCCTGTCAGGGACGGGGCCGAGCGGCGCGTTTCCTCCAGCGGACTAGCTGCGGGCATGGGGCGTGGCCGCAGCACCTAGGGCGGCGCTGCTGCGGTGGGCTCCGCGGGGGTGCGGGCCGGGGACGGCAGAGTCTGTGCCTGTGCGGAGGGAGGGTCTTCTCCGCGGGCTGTGCTCCTGTGCACTGCGAGTGCAGATGTGCGAAGTGTTCGCCTACCCCACGTGAAAAACAAGTCTTTTTGTTATGAAAATTATGCAGATAAAATTAAGATAGCCTTGTGGAGTGTTAAGATTTTTCAGTGTTCAGTGCTGCTGCGAGTGTGAAGATATGAACAACCGTCACACTCCGAGTGGGCGGTAACCGGCTCTGGAGGCCAAGAGACAGATGGACGGGAACGCCGGCTATATAACGGACGTGTTCCTGGAAATCCAAGCGTTATTATGTATAAAAGACAAAGGAAAACTCTTAATTCTGTCAGCCACGGAACTATCAAACAAAACTCTGTTCACGTTTGGGTTTACTTCAGGTACATTCATTAGGAATATATACGTTATATTTACATAGTTATTCTTATAAAATATATTTCACCTAGTTGTATTTGGGGAATATAATAAAGTATGTGAAGAAGTATGACATTTAAAAAGCAGCTTATCTTATGCAGCCGGTGACCCATTGGGAACACATTCTGTGTCAGTGCAGGTGTGCATTGCCATTTCTAATGGGTGCACGGACATTCTTGCTGCACCACATGTTATTTAGCCATTTCTCTACTGATGTGTATGTTTCTAATTTCATGATCAAAACAGTGTGGTAATGGTCACTTGTACGTATACATGTCTGCATTCTTGTCCAGATTAACCCCTTAGAATAAATTCCAAGTGGTGGATAGTTATTTAGAAATTATGGCACAATTAAAAATTTTTTTTTCTTTTTTAGCTGGGGCTGGGTTCGAACCCATCACCTCCAGTATATGGGGCCGGCGCCCTACTCCTTGAGCCACAGGTGCCACCCGCAATTTAAATTCTGATCCATGATGCCAGATTGCCCTCTGGAAAAGTTGATTACCAACACACAGTGTAAGGGTATTTATCTCTTCACACTCTCACCACCACTGGCTACTGAAAAATCTTACCAATCTGAAAAAAATAGCTTGATATTTCTATTTGCATTATTGAGATTAAATGTTTATTAGTTACTGTTTCTTTGGTAAATCATCTGTTATTCCTTGTTATTTTATTGATGTGTGGACCTTTTAATAGCTTTCTTAGAGGAATTTGAATTAGTGATTTTAAAACCTCTTACAGGTATTTCTCCCACTTTATCATCTTTTTGAACTCAGTTATGGTGGTATTTGCCTTCATGGTAGGCTGCTCTGTTTTGTTTTAATACTGCCATTCTTTTAAGAAGATGCCTATTTACCTCTTCAGAGGTGGAGAAATTTGTTGTAACTCTATCAGCCTGTCTGTAGTGGTTAAGTGAAAATCCCCTCCCTTCCACCCTCAAAATCCTTTCCATTTCAACTAGTTTACTTAAGATTTTTGAAGAGAATATATCATTAGGTATGTTAGCAAATATTGTCTGTATTTATCCACAAAATGACAACTTGTTTAACTTCTATGTGAAAGTTTTCCTCTAAGTAAAGAAAATGGATTGTCAAGTCTTTCGATAAGAACTGACATTTGCCTTTAGACTTTATTAAAGTTTGTATTTTACTATTTGCAAACATCATCTATACATATTCAAGGAAAGAAATGGGAGTGTGACATAATTTGAATGCAGAGGAAATAGTAACATCAGTTATTGTATAGCATAGCACACATGCCATAAAAAAATCTGATTGGGAGGCTGAGGCAGGAGAATCGCCTAAGCCCAGGAGTTGGAGGTTGCTGTGAGCTGTGTGAGGCCACAGCACTCTACCAAGGGCGATAAAGTGAGATTCTGTCTCTACCAAAAAAAAAATAATAATAATTAAAATCTGATTTGGCTTTAGTGCCAAAAATCCTGCTATCCCAGATAGAATCCCACAAATCATGATTTAATTTTTATGTATATGCATAATCTCATCTTAATTCACCATTGAAATAATTGAAATAATTCCATTTTTAAAATGGAGAAAGTAATATCTAAGCCATATTTTACTTTATTCTAACATTTATTTAGTCCCTTACCGTGTGACTACCTCAGATAGCAATTTTACAGGCTTATTATTCCACCTATGATGACTATTTGGACTTTTCTAGAGGAACTACCAAAAATATGGTCACTAAATCCTTGTCTAGATTTGATAATATATGCTAATCAATCTTGAAAGGATTTTACTTAAGTTCTAAGACCAAGATCCTCTTTAAGAGGATCAATACATTAATCCTCTTTATGCATTATTAATTAATGTATTATTTCCTTTGCATTTAAATTATGTCACACTCACATTTTTTTCCTGAACACATTAAGATGATGTTTGCAAATAGTAAAATATAAACTTTAATAATAAAGTCTACAGAATCTCTTATGGCTCTTAGTGCTTTTTGTTCACATATCACTGCTTTACATTGATGTGTTTTTTTAAATGTGGAATGACTTCTCAAACTGTTCTTTTCTAGATTTTTTAAAAATTCTTAATACTAATGCCAATCAAAGTACATTGAAATAAGGTAAGAAATTAAAAAAAAACTTTGGTTTATACTTACATATTTAAGTAGAGTATCTTTATATCAAAATTACAGGACAAAGCAATCATATTTTAAGAAAACTCAGGGTATTCTAAAGTGTTTGGTAGATCAGGTCCCAAAAAGCAGTAAAAGTGATTTAGAGTCCTAAAGACCCGGATAATCAGTTGACTGTTTTGAATATATCCTAAGTTATTTTGTACCAGTATTTCCCCATCTCTAAAATGGGGATATTTTCTGAATCTAAAAGTTATTATAATGGCTGGCCTTGGTGGTTCACACGCCTGTAATCCCAGTACTCTTGGAGGCCGAGGAGGATGGATTGCCTGAGCTCACTGGTTCAAGACCAGCCTGAGCCAGAGCGGGACCCCAACTCTAAAAATAGCCAGGCACTGTGGCGGGTGCCTGTAGTTCCAGCTACTCCAGAGGCTGAGGCAAGAGAATTGCTTGAGTCCAAGAGTTAGAGGTTGCTGTAAGCTATGACACTGCAGTACTCAAGGGTGACAAGGGCTACAAAGTGAGACTGTGTCTCAGAAAATAAAATCTATTGTAATATGCCTCCTTTCTCTTCAAATATAGCACAAAGTCACCTAACTTTTTGAATGCTATTTTGCTTTATAAACCTGGAACTCATTCAAGGAAGTCTTATTTGTGGTCTACCCCCTATTGAGCTTCTATAGCACTTAGACAGCATCAGTTTACTATTTATATATTTGTATTGTTTCTAATTGTCTTATGTGCAGTTATATTTCAACTATGAGCTTTAGGATAGAAACCATATTTGTATATCTGGAATCTTGAACATAGGTAGAAATTAATTGTTGGTTGGTAGATAGAACTTTGGACCTCTTAAACTTATGGCAGAATTATAAATGTGGGTAACACTCTCCAGTAATGAAAAGTTTTGAGTTCATTTGCTTTGATGTTTATTATTGTTTATTGTTATAAAAGATAATGTATTTAAGAGAACTTTGAGGTCTTTTGAATAAATATTGGTGTTCGTGAGTAATATTTTGAGGCTTACTTATCAACTTTGTTTTGAGTACAAGCAAAATCCTACCTCATTTTCCTGTCTCAGTGTTTAGTAATGCGTGCCACTCATTTGCTCAGGTCTGAAAGCCTCTCTACTTGGGAATCCCACATTCACTTATGCAGAGTCCTGTTGTTCTGCCTCCTTTATTTGAAATTCATGTATTTCTCTCCATTTCCTCTTACTACAAATCTATTCTAGGCCATTGTCATCTATTGTCTTCATTATTCCAGCAGCCTCCTAATTGGTCCCTTTACCTTCAGTCTTACCCTCTTCCTGTCCACAATATACACAAAACAATATTTTTGCTACACAATTCTATAAGGTTTTTTCAGTGGCCACACAAGATAAAATCTAAGCTTTTTAAGGAAGGTCTCCAAGGCCTTACAATGTGGTCTTACAATGTGACTGACCCTTGTTTAATTTGTAGAACTATGATCTTTTCCCTCTCAAGCCATACTAAAATAATTTACAGTTGCCTGAATGCATATGCTATAATCTCTAGCCATTTACACAAATTGCACCTTCTGCATTAGACTCACAGCTCTAGTTCTCAAACCTCACTTTAACCTGGCTCCCACTTGTTCTGCAATGTTTAGCTTGAATATCTCCTCTTTATAAAAACTCTCCTTAACCCACTATTACCAGGGTTAAGCAAACACTGTGGCCTACAAAGGATTTTTTAAAGGAATATGAGACAAAAAATTGTGATTCACAGAGCCTAAAATATTTACTCTTTAGTCCTTTACAGAAAACATTTATCAACCTCTGCACTAGGTTTACATGCTTCATAGGAAAAGGTGGTGTGCCTTATTTGGTTAGGTGACTTCAACTTAGCATCATGCCTGCCCCTAAATCGATTTTTCCAATCTTTAATTGATTGAATTTGATATTTTTAAATACTTATAAAATAAGACACTCAGGCAAAGGTCGTTATAAGAATTCAGATGAGTAATGAATACTTCATTTGCCTTAAAAAAGAACTGCACAACAAATTAAACACTTGCAGTATTATGCTTTGATGAATTTGAATACAAGGCACAAGTTTCCAGGAGTACATAAGTACATTTCCATTTTATAGTTGTTTTGCTTCTTTCATCTCTTAATCCTTTTAGACAAAGATTTTTCTTGTTAAAGCAAAAACTTCCTTAATAGGGCCTTAAAATCTTTTCTTAAAAGGGTGTGGATCATCTGAATTTCTAGTATTTCTCATAGTGAATTTTCTTTTTTTAATTTCTTTTCTACCCATCAACCACTAGTTGGTTGTTGGTTCCTATTAAATGCTGCTTTTCATTTCTGTATCAACACAGACCCTTTTTGATGGTGTCTCCAGCATAGTATTCTCTTCCTCCGGTGTGTCATTAGACTCCCTTCTGGCTTTTATTTCTTCCTCATGGAGTAAATGGGGGTGCTCAATGCGTCCTCTACGTACAAAATGCTGGATCCGAGATTCCAATCCTTGGCATTTAGGACGATCCATAAGGGGCTTATATGTGCGCATTTTCACTCCTTCCACAAAAGCACTGGTCTGCTTCATTATAGAGGGCTGAACATTTCTCCATTCTTTCATTCCATCCATCTTTGGCCCTGTTCCACAGGGCACTGTAACTGAATCCAGACCTTGTAGCATACTATACAACACGTGAGTTTTGACAGCGTGATTAGCCCATAGTTGTTGCAGGTGGGTAACATTGAACTCCTGAACCTCCCGGTCATAAATCCACTTGATATTTTCAAACTTACAGTCATATAAGACTAGAGGGAATTCTATAGCCATACTAGGGAAGGAAGGAGAAGAAACAAAGTATAAGAATACACATAGCCATCCAACAATTCTTTTTTTCTGAACTATTTTATTTTTTTGAGACAGTCTTACTCTGTCATGTTGGGTAGAGTGCTGTGGCATCATATCCCACAGTGACCTCAAACTCTTGGGCTCAAGAGATCCTCTTGCCTTAGTAGCTGGGCACCCGCCACAATGCTCAGCTAAGTTTTCTATTTTTAGTAGATACAGGGTCTTGCTTTTGCTCAGGCTGGTCTCAAACTCCTGAGCCAAGTGATCCACCCACCTCTGGCTCCCAGAGTGCTAGGATTATAGGCCTGAGCCATTGTGCCTGGTGATCCAACAATTCTTAAACTGAGGGTTAGTTGGGTTAAGGGGAATAGGCAGGAGGGGGGCATTAAGGTAAATATTGAATATCCAATAGCTAAGAAAATACACTATCCCTAACCTTGAACAACTTGGACATAATTTTTTAAGATGCAATATGAATTAACTTGATTTATATTAGACATGATCTGTATTATATGTATATCAATGGTAGCAGGTTTTAATAAACCTTTAAATAAGTTGACATGGCTTTATCATACCACTGATGAAATTTGTTAATGGCATTTCAATTTTGTATAGTATGAGTAAAAAATATATTTCATACCTTAGGAATGAATTGCTGGTATCTGACTTCAGCCTGTTCTCAAAACAAAAATCTTGACTCTTTTGCCTTTCCTACCATTTCAGAAACTGGAGATTATGAAAGATTCAAAAGTACAGCAGTGTGACTACTCAGTAATACAAAATAAGCAAGATTTAATATGATTGTTTGCTTTTTAATTTTACCAGAACTTAAAGCCAGGTCAAACACCTGCTTCCTAGAACCAAAGATAATTAGAAGTAATAACGTCTTCCTTCATAACATTGTACAAGTTAGATTAAAAGCTTTATGAAATGCCTGTAATCTTAGTACTCTGGGAGACTGAGGCAGGTGGATCCTTTGAGCTCAGGAGTTCAAGAACAGACTGAGCAAGAGTGAGACTCCATCTCTAATAGCTGGGTGTTGTAGTGGGCACCTATAGTCCAGCTACTTGGGAGGCTGAGGAAAAAGGATCACTTGAGCCCAAGAGTTTGAGGTTGCTGTGAGCTATGACACCATGCAAGGGTGACAAAGTGAGACTGTCTCTAAATAAATAAATACATAAATAAATAAAGCTTTATGAAGGCAGAATGAGTGACTTAGGTTAGACAACCATGGGGAAGACGAAAATTGCTATTTTGTTTCTTAACTTACCTATATTGAGGTTTCTGGGGATTTTTCTCTATGTTAAGCAGCTCATCAATAATCTCTGGCTTCTCCATCCCTTGGCCAATCAGAAAGAGGATAGCCATCATACAGCGGACTTGATGGTAAAGGAATGCCTGGCCAATCACTTCAAATTGACATAACTGAAAAGGTTCTTGCCATCTTTCCTCACTTAGGCTTTGGCCCACTAGCTGTACTTGAGCAGATAGAATAGTCCTCTGAAAGTTAATCACTCCGTTAGCTACATCCATTTTACAAAAGTTTCTAAAATCATGGGTGCCAACATACTTCTGTGCTGCATAGTTCATGGTTTCAATATCTAAATCAGCATGAGGGAAAAAATAGCGGTAAGTCCGCTCAAGACAGCTAAACCTCGCGCTGAAGCTAGGTTCTACAGGGGCCCAGGCAAGTATACGGATGTCTGGAGGGAGTACTCGGTTGAGAATGTGGGTATAACGGATCTCTTTTGCAGCACTGCTGGCTTCATCTTTTAAATTAAAATCCTCTGAATCCCTGTCCCTTGGAAACTGAGAACGGAGGTCAAGAGAAATCACCTGTGGAGTTAGAGAAAGATACTGTGTTACAGAGATACAAATAATCTCAATACTCAATGTATACCTAGAATATCTTGGTATTGCTTGCTTTGAGAAACAGTGTACTGGCACTTACCTGTCCAAAGGCACTAACTCCTTTGTCTGTTCGCCCACATCGGTGATAGTTGGATGTCTGTCTGCTTTCTACTAGTCGAGTCTTGGTTAGAGCCTCAAATAGTTTCTCTTCAATGGTATTATTTGTATTTTCCTGACTAGCAAAGCCCTGGTATCCCCAGCCAAGATAGGCCATTTTTAGGGCTATATGTCTCCGACCATGAGCACTAAAATCAAACGCACGCTTAGCTTTCCCACTTCCTGATGGGTTTTCCCTAATATCTGAGTCCTTGTTGTTGGCCCGTTCCTTTCTAAGTCTTTGTACTTCCTGCTCCAGTTCTCGTACTCTTTTTAGGAGTTTCTCAGTTTGGTTTCTGTCTCTGTCATTTTCAGCCATGATACGACCACAGGAATAAAGGAATCATATAGGTCCACCCTAACTGAAAAAGAGAGCAAAAGGATACAACAGTTTCAATACAAGATTTAATTTAATGCCCAATGAATATATTAATACTTTTGTTTATCCATGGAATATAAACATTAGCTTAATAATTTATGGGTTGAAGTATCAAAATTGGGGGAAGTGTCTATAGATTTGTCTGTTCTTCATTAACATGAGTAAAGACTTATATTATTGATATTTTTTTCCCTAAAATATTTCCTTTTGATTTCTCCTATTTTTCCTATTTTTGTAATTGTGAAATTATGGGCTACTTATGTCTACTCTGAGTTTCCATCGTTTTCCATTATTTCAGATCAAATAACTAGTTCATATGTTCTATCACCCATTATTCAGTTGTCTTAAAGGTGGTGTAATAGAAGCTAGCCTATTGAAGAAGTTTGTCCAAGACTGTATTTCACATTGGAAGCAAAACCTGGAGACAAAATATTTTCAAACTTTAAGCAGTTTTGATGGCAGAAAAAAGGTAATAAGTACCACTGACTTTTTAAAAGCCAAACATAATTTATTATCCAATAAAAGATTTCTGTACCTCTAACGGTTACAAGAGTTAATCTGTTGTAATTTAGATGTCATTGTTGAAATTCCTGGTAAATTTCAGTAATCTTGGGGACAACTGTCCTTACATCCTTAAAATTGGGACAGTCCTAGACTATCTATGACTGACAGTTTCTTTATAGAAGACCATCTCCCCATCTGTTCTAAGGGTAAGCTATAAGTCTAGGTAGCTCATTCCATTTTGGCCCTTTGAGTTTCTGTATCTGTGATAGGCAGATCAAAAGTTTAAATGTAAAAAATGAAACTATAAAAGTACTAGAAAAAAACGCGGAGTAACTTTTCTTCTTAAATCATTAGTGCAAATGGCATTTCTAATTAAAACACTCTAGAAATCCAGAAACTACAGAACACAAAAAAACGTAGTTACCTAAAAATAAAAATTTCTGCCAGCAAAAAAAAGAAGGGGGGATGGACAAACTGGGATGAAAAGTGAATGATGGTAAAGGGCTAAATTCTTTAATATATAAGTATTGCATGAATATGTAAATCAGTTTTAATGAAAAGATCAGTAAGAAAAAGCCTAATAACCTGAGAGGTAAACGGGCAAAGACCAAGCATTGCAAACAGAAAATAAAGTTTATAAATAAGTTTTTCAGATGTTCAATTTCACTCAATTTAAATAAGTGCAAATATATCTGAGAACTATTTTTAATGCAAAGACTAAGAAGTCTGATGGTACCCCACTCTGGAGAAGAGATACACTGTTAGTACAGCTGTTTTTTAGGTAAGCATTTTATCAACAGCTGTCAAAATTGAATACACACATACCTTTTTGTTTTGTTTTTAATAGAGATAGAGTCTCACTTTGTCACCCTCAGTAGAATGCTGTGTCATCGCAGCTCACAGCAACCTCAAAATCTTGGGCTCAAGTGATTCTTTTGCCTCAGCCTCCCTAGTATCTGGGACTAAAGGCACCTGCTACAATGCCCAGCTATTTTTGTTGTTGTTGTTTATTTAGCAGGCCTGGGCTGGGTTCAAACCCGCCATACCCAGGCACCTGTGGCTGGCGCCCTAACCACTGAGCTATGGGTGCCCAGCCCACACATACCTTTTGACCTACCCTTTAAATTTAACCTACACAAATGCTTACACAAGTATTTAATTCATTGTTTTTAACAACAAAAGACTAAACCTAAATCACATCAACAAGGGATTGACTGAATAAATTATGGTATATTTACACATTGGAATTTTATGGAATATTTATGAACTAAGTGTACGCATGCTGATATAGCTAGATCAACAAGGTTATCTTTAATGTTCAGAAGAGTTGTGTTCTATGCTCCTTTATGATATAAAAAAACAAATGTACACATGAATATGAAAAACTTCTGGAGAAATCATAAGAAACTGCCTTTGAGGCCGGTGTTGTGATTCATTCCTAACACTCCGAGAGGCCAAGGTGGGTAGATTGCTTGAGCTTACAAGTTCAAGATCAGCCTAAGCAAGAATGAGACACCTGTCTCTAAAAATAATAATAATAACTGGGAGTTGTAGCAGGCACCTGTAGTTCCAGCTACTTGGGAACCTGAGGTAAGAGGATCCCTTGAGCCCAAAAGTGTGATGTTGCTGTGAGCTTTGACAGTACAGCACTTTATTGGGGGGGGGCAAGAAAGTGAGACTCTGTCTCATAAAAAAATGAAAAGAAACTGCCTTTGAGAATGAAATTTTGTAGGAAGGGCTTAAAATTATCAAGTGCATTTATTTCTTAGTTTAAAAACAAAAATGGAGACACAGGAAATAGTGAGCAATAGGTCCTACCTCTTAGATCAAGTTGAGAAACTAGCACTGGGTATTTTGCTAGTTGATTTGGGTACTTAATTATTTTAGTGACGTGGTTCAGAATGAACAGATTTATCTTGACAATGGAAAAGGTGTTGAAAATACTTATGCATAGGGAGTATAAATGTATATGGAAGGTCAGACAGTTATGTTTGCGAACTCATCCTAGAAAAAGTGCTACGTACCTTAGTGCTGAATATCACTACAGTCACCTCTGAAGTACTCCCCTTGCCTATCTGGTGAATTCATAAACTTAATTATTAGACCTTGTATGACCACAACTCTGGTGGCCATTCCAGAAAGAGTCCCAAAATTGCTTGGAAAAGTGGACTAGGCACTGGCATTAGGGCACAGCTTCCCAAGGGGAGTACTGTGAAGGTAACCATGGTGATATTCAGCAATGATGTGTGTAGCACTCTTTCTAGGATAAGTTTTCAAACTTAATTGTCTGGCCTCATATGTACATGATATATATGCGTATGTATGAGAGCACAATACTGCTTTTGTGATGGTTTTTTAGATTAAATCACTCTTATAGATTTCACTGCTATAAAATGGAGACAAGGGAATGAGTCATTTATGAGCTGGGAATTTACTGTAAGAAAACTGACCAATGTTCTCTATTGCAGAAGGTCATACGGGGAAGCAATGGAGGAACTCATGGGACCTGACAGACAAAAATGGGCCAATATGGATCCAGAAGAACGAATGTTGGCAGCTGCTACAGCTTTTACCCGTATCTGTGCAGGGCAGGGTGAGGGAGATGTCAGGAGAGAAGCCCAGTCTATCCAATATGATCCCTACAGTAAAGCTTCAGTAACCCCAGGGAAGCGACCTGCTCTTCCTGTGCAACTGCAGTACCCACACATAAAAACTAATGTTACTTCAGAAATAGTCTCAGAGACATCCCAAAGACTCCGAAAGCCAGTGATGAAGAGAAAGGTGCTGCGTAGAAAGCCAGGTGGGGAAGTGTTGGTGACAGATGAGTCCATTATCAGTGAATCAGAATCTGGTACAGAAAGTGATCCAGATCTCTGGGACTTAAGACAGAGGCTGATGAATCTGCAGGTCCAAGAAGACAAGGAATCCACAGCTGATAGTACACAAAAATTTAATCTACCACATGAAAACCAAGGAATTTCTCAAGATCAGCTCATTTGCTATTTACGAAGAGAAGGAATGGGCCCTCCAGCTTATGAACAAGACCTAATTGTTGCCAGCAGACCCAAGTCCTTTATTCTCCCAAGGCTGGACCAGTTAAGCCGTAACCGTGGTAAGGTAGACCGGGTAGCCCGATACTTTGAGTATAAACGGGACTGGGACTCAATGCGGTTACCTGGTGAAGATCATAGAAAAGAACTACGCTGGGGTGTCCGAGAGCAGATGCTTTGTCGACCAGAACCCCAATCCAAACCTCAGCACATGTATGTTCCAAACAATTACCTAGTACCAACTGAGAAGAAAAGATCTGCACTCCGCTGGGATATTCGCTGTGACCTTGCAAATGGTGTCATGCCCAGCAAACTTCCCTTCCCTCTTTCACCTTCTTAACCTCCCCCCTTTTACAGAACTGTTTGGGATAACCTAGTTCTTTTCCTCTCTCCCTTTTAATAGAAAAAAACTGACTTGACAAGCCCATACTGGTCTTCTTGAGCTATGTAGCACATCAACATCAGATACTACTTTACTCCCAAATTAACTACTCAAATTGAGCAATTGTGAGAGAAATCATGCCAGAGAAAGATGAGTAGTCTTTCTGTTTTGCCAAATTAATAAGCTCCATTTCTATTCTATAACATATTTATCTTTGGCCAATATGAGTTGCTGTGTTTTAATGTGTTTTTAAAGTTATGGGCATTTAGGTTATCAATTAAAGACTTTTCAACATTCATGAGTTTAATCTTTTTAAATACTTCCCTAAGTAAGATGATCTCAAACCTGGGCTAGGATTCTGCTTCCAATTACATTGCCTATCTTATTCTCACTACCTACACAATTAGCTGAAAGGAACAAAATCCTATCTTTTACACACAGTCCTAATGAATGGGAGAGAGGTAGTGGCATAGATATCCCCCATTACTAAAAGAATATAGCAAATTTAGGTAAAATTCTATGTAAAATTCTTTTTTAATAAATAACTCCCAAATAGCACTATTTTACATAGGATCCTAAGTTTTGTTTCCGGATGTTAAAATATGTACAGTATACTGTCTCTCAGTTTTTTACTTCTGGAGTATTAGGCTTTTACTAATTTACCACTGAGACTGTATCTTAAGAATTATGCCTGTCACTTATAGGCTGTCCCACTGTACAACAGAATTTCAAACTAACCTTTGAAATCAGATGGATGTAAACAAGTACCAAAATGAATCTGGACTGTTTGGGTAAAGATCCACATACTATTTCTGCTCAACTTGTAGTGGAATGTGTCTGTTCTTGATATTTCTAATCCAGTGAGGAACATATGAAGCCTAGAAGTTAATAGTTTTAACATTGGACAGAAGAGTGACAGAAAGTTTGCTTGTTCACAGAAAACTTTTAACATAAGCATGAACAACCTTGACCGTTACTATCTGCTAAATATATATTTTCTCTATATTATTTAAAGCTTTATAATTCACTCCCCCAGTTCTGCTGCTATGCATTTATCTGTAAAAGTGATAAAATCAGTGACTAAGATATGTAGGATATATCACTGCAAAAAAGTAGGAACTGCAAACTGTTCACCAATAGTGGACAGTTTAAAGAGACATTAGAATATTAAAGTCACTGGGAATGTTGGGAAACAAGGAAAAACGCAAATTAAGTGAAATACATTGTGAACTACACAGCCTGAGACATGTACCCACCCACAACACAGGAATATCAAAACCCAACTCTGGGTTGTGGGATTAAAGGTAACCAAAATTTTTTAAGAAGCTCAAATTTACATTTTACCTAAAAAACACTTCACTGATTTACCTTTATTTGGATCTCAAAGTCCAGTATTACCAAAATCAAAATTTTCTGACGTGATTAACCTTAATCACTAAACAAGGACAGAGAGTGTGTCTGGTCATAAAGATTTGTGGCAAAAAAGGACTTGAGCCCAAAACTTAGTACAGTGCTTTCTCCAGCACACCATAACCTCAATGTGAAGTACAGTAGTTTGCAAGCAAACGTAGTTCCTTGGCGGAGACCGCCAAAATGACCACAGAAGGAATTCATGTGTCCGCTAAGCTTAGACTATAAGCTAAAAGAGCCATCACTAAACATTTATACATTTTTTTGAAGTTAAAAAAAAAATCAGGAATCCGTGTATTACTGGAAATAGCATTAGTGGGCTGTAAAGCAATCCCAAAATGATTCAAAACTTCTCCTGTTTAACTACTTTATGCGGCATCAATTCTAACGGGAGCAGGGCAGATTCACCACCACCCCAGGGCCCCCTACACTCCTAACACAGAATTGGACTAAAAGTGCCCCTACAGCTGAGAGTTTCTGCCAGGAGCGCGAGGAAGGACCAGCGCCAAAGATAAAGACACGGTCTTAGCGAGGTCTCACTGCCATACCCCGGCGCTTTCTTGGAAAGATTAAAGTATGGGAAAGAAGGTAAAAGGAGGATAACCATCCAGCTGTACGCCCATTTGTCCGTGGCCCTGCCGAACCCAGACAGCTACCCACCCGTCAGAACCCACCCTTACCTTCCGGTCGCCGACAGCCCAGCGCTCTGCAGACAGGAAGTTGTCACTATGCGTGGTCTGCGCGCGCCCGCGGCTCCGTGGGAAGTGTAGTCCGCACGGTGGGAAATGTGGTCCTGAGGGCGCGGCGCTACAATCGGCCTCATGTTCTCCAGTTCAGCCACTGTTTCTGCACCCACGACAAATCAAAATCTGGGGCCCGTGACAGGACGAGAATAAAAGGAGAAATTCTACTGCTGTGTGAAGATAACAGAAAAGAGGTAATTTTTCAAATGTCTGTTATCCTCCGAAAATTAACACATTGATGATCCTGGCCAATTTTGTATACCTAGTTAAGTTAGGAGAAAGTGATCGTTGAGAAACAAAATATTTACTGTTGGAATCCAAATGTAAAAGCTAAAAAGGAATATGATAATCTCAAAACAAACCACTGAGGTGTCTTTAAGTGGCAGAGCAGTGCTGGAGTTTTGTTTCAGCACCACGGAGAGGTCATGACAACAGTTTGTGGGTTGACAACCCTTTGTGGGTTTTGGATTTTTACCCCAATTCCAAAGATGCTGACCTAAGTCTCAAAATTCCAGTTAGAGAACTGGGAGAGGGGGTTATGTTGTTCTTTCGTTCAAGTTTAGCAGTCATTAGTACGAGGGGTCTGCCCCTCTGCAAGTATGAAGCAGAGGTTGCACCAAGAGGAAAAGTTTTCTCAGGACTGCTTTAACAATGGGCCACATCTTAGAATGAAAATTAAAATAAGCAGGTATGTGGAAACTTCACAGGCATCTTGGCAGGAGCAGTAGTTATTAGTAGAACTTGAACAACTGCTTCCTTGCCGCACTTTCGCACTTGACTTGATTCTTCAGATCAAATTCACCCATTTCGTCCTATGCAATTCGCTAACCTTTCCTACATCTTGTAATGCAAAGGCGGGAATATCCGGGGACACGCAGACACCATCGCAGAAGCGGGTGAGGACACAGCCTCGCCACAGGAGACCCGTCGACGTGGGACGGGGTTAAGACTGTCAGTCGGAAAACTGCAGCGGATCAGCCTAGCCGTGGGCAGCAGCAAGAGAACAAGGGCTGCGGCTTCGCCCCCTACCGGGTTTCCAACGCCTGAGGCGAATTCGGGGCTGGCAAACCAAAACCTCCCGGGTCCGCCCCTTCTGCTACCCTCCCTCTTCCTCCGCTCCCCTCTCCGAGCCCCGCCCCTAGCTCCAGCGCCTGCGCGCCGCGCAAGGGTGGTCTCGGGCTTGAGCCCGCCCCCTGAGGAAGCCTATTGGCCGCCGGGAGGGGCCGAGCATCCTGCGCGGTAGAAGCACGTGCGGAGTGCGGCGGTGGCGACCGCAGCTATGGCGTCGTTACTTTGGGGAGGCGACGCAGGGGCGGCGAAGAGCGAGCGGCTGAGCAGCCATGTAACCGCTACCGAGCCTGGGAGGGCGCAGGAGCAGGGCCTGAGCACCGAGTCCCCGGGGAAGCCCGCCGGGAGGGAGGGTGGCCCAGCTAGTTTGTGATATGGGTGTCAAGTGGTGGAAGGGAGATGGGGGAGGAGTTTGGAAGAGGGCCAAGGAACAGGAGGTCCAGAGAGACAAGACCCTTGGTTCGAAAGGGTGGAGTAAAGACACTGGGAACGCAGCTGCTATCCCAGCTAGACTTGGTGTCCCACTCTGGTTTGACCATGGAGCCCTGCCTCGCCTCCGTCTTGTATCTGCCGTCGCACTTTTCTAGCCACCGTCCCCCTGTTGGTGCTGCGACCCCCGAGTACTCCCTGTATGTAAACTAGCGGCTTAATAAAGAGAAACTTTGTGCACAGGGACTACAGAAAGTCTCCACCAATTTTAGGATAATTCCTACAGGAGACCTATTCCTGAAAGGAATTCATTGATACCTAACGTGGTATTGCACAGGAAACAGTACTCGGGTGGTTTTCCCTGAAGCCCTTCCAGCCCCTGTGGTAGGGAGCGCTCGGCTGCGTGATGGTTGCTTCCTAATACTGGTTGAAATTTGTGTCTTTCAATAGTTTTCAAACCCCATCCACCCCCGGAAGAACCTTCGGGGTATTAAGAGTACTACAGTCCCAAACATAGGTGAGTGCTGTTAGGGTAAAACAGATTGACCTTACTTAACAAGTATTGTTTTCAATCGCTTCTCTGCCAAGAGAAATATCTTGGGCTTCTTTAATTTAACCTTCAGGACCCTCAGCTACCTTCATTTTATCCACTGCTATGCTGGATGACTCATGTCATTATAAATGGAATCATATGCTTTACATTTCTGGTCAGCATTTATCTTTACGCTGTTTCTCTTCCATTCCTTTAGATGGTTCTCTTAATAACACTGAAGAAGAGGATGAAGAAGATGTAGGTAGGAGATAAATTCATTTGCATTTACCCTCCTGGCATTCTGTATCGATCAGTTTATTACCATTTTCACAGTGTGAGTGAATAACGTCTTAATTGGAAAAGGACTGTATTTTCTTTACTAATAGCAAATATCAGAAGAAATTCTAAGAGTGGGTCTATTTCTTTAGAGGAAGATGGGTTGGAATATGTGGGAAGCTGGTTAAGAATTTCCAGCTGCCAGGGAAGAATTAGATCTCATGGACATGGTCATAGGCTGCTTGAAGTTAGAGGTTTGTGTAGCAACCCAGCAAAGTAGATCTTCATAAAGAATGAGTTCTCCATGCTATTTCATTCTTTCTAGAACCTTCTTTCAGAAGAAATAATGAATGTAGCTGCAGTTGTTTGATATACAAACACTGAAAACACTGAATGAGACAGGGCAACTTAATTAATGTCATTCAGGAAGCTTGATATCCCCCTTTTTTATTTTTGCTTTTCTAGTGGATTTGGCAGCTAATTCACTCTTAAACAAGTTAATCCGTCAGTCCTTGGTAGAATCCAGTCACCGAGTCGAAGTTTTACAGAAGGATCCCAGCTCTCCACTTTACTCAGTAAAAACGTTTGAAGAGCTGCGGCTGTGAGTACTTTCATTCTTAGTGTGGGAAAATGCCAGCAGAAAGCGCAACACACAGCAAACTAATCGGCTTATAACAAGTACCATCAGTATTTCCTTTGTTTAATAATATTCAGTATTAAAATGAGGTGTATCCAGCCTGAGAAAGAGATTCCCATCTCTACTAAAAAAAAAAAAAAAAAAGCTAACTGGCTCTTGTGGCAAGCACCGTAGTAGTCCCAGCTACTT